TTTTTAAAAACTAATTGGTATAAACTTCTTTTATAAATTAAAGAAATCTCATAAAGTGGAATCTTGGTAAGATGAATTAAGTAGACTTGGTAAGTCTACAAAAAAGCAGGTAGGTTTCCCTAAAATTCTTAAATATTATATTAATTACTTGGATAAATATAAAATGAGACAATCACAAAGGAGCAAAGTTGTTAAAATATCTTATTCATTCAAAAGCCATATTTATCCCAAAGATGTAAACCTTAGGAAGGAAAATATTTATAATTCACAAAATGTGCTTACAGTTCCCCTACTGCAACACTTTCTAGACATCCTGTTTGAAATGTTAGTTATGCTAGCTATGAAGAGGTTTTGGCCACATATAAATGAAGAAAATGCCTATGTGAGATCCAAGTCTTAAGGAAGTTGTGGTCTTTCACAACCACTGCATAGTGAGGAGGAAGCAACGAGACCTCCAAAATGAATCCACCTTAAATGTTCCATCTCTTCTATTCTGTAGGTTATAACTGGTGATTAGAAGGCAACCTCCTTTCTTTACAACGTTGCTAAATGTATACAGATATTATTGCAAAATAAGTTATGAATGTGATCATCTTACTTGCTTGTTATTCCAAATAAAATGATTGCTAAGTTTTGATCACAAAAATGGAAAGCCCTTGACAGCAGACAGAACCTTTCATTTTTTAAAACTGCTTATTTTGAAAAATATAGGGGCATATAAAGACATAACAAACATCAGGTAAATAGCAACCTGAATTAAATGTTAAAAAGCATCATTTTAATTATATATGTTATATATAATACTTACATAATTATATTAAATACATTTATATGATAATATATGCATATGGATATTTTAATATGCATGTACACATTTATTACATGTAACTAATGTATATATACAAAGCATATGCAATATAAGGTATGTATATAATGCATGAAATATACATATGCTTATGTGTAAATTAAAGACTGTGTCTATACAGCTTTAAAAGGATAGAACATTTGAGAAACAGCAGATATATCTGTAAGCATCCCTAGTGTTATTTCACTCCATCTTTCCCCAAAGGTGATTGCGTCCATAAATTTGATATGAGTATCTTTCTACTCTATTTATCATATGTAATCAAAACAAAATATGTTTCATTTATTTGAACAATTTTTAAATACTGTACATAATAATTCTGACTTTTTTCATTCCACAGTGTATGTTATAGATATATCAATATTGATACAGGTATCTTTATATTTATCAATATTAAATTTTGATTATGAGTATAATTTGAAAATAAGTATAGTAAATATATGGATTATATATATTAATTTTAACAGCAAATACTTAAAATGAGTATAGTAAATGAGTATAGTAAATATATGGATTATATATATATAATTTGAAATGAGTATAGTAAATATATGGATTATATATATTAATTTTAACAGCAAATACTTAAATTATTTCCTTTTATTATTAATACAAACACTGCTGTATTTAATGTCCTTATGCACGTTTCCAAGTACATATGGATAAGTGAAAATTCTAAGGTACACACTTTTAAAAACTGATTTTGGGCTTCCCTGGTGGTGCAGTGGTTGAGAGTCCGCCTGCCAGTGCAGGGGACACGGGTTCGTGCCCCGGTCCGCGAAGATCCCACATGCCGCGGAGCGGCTAGGCCCGTGAGCCATGGCCGCTGAGCCTGCGTGTCGGGAGCCTGTGCTCCGCAACGGGAGAGGCCACAACAGTGAGAGGCCCGCGTACCGCAAAAAAACCCAAAAAACCAAAAAATAAAACTGATTTTAATAATTACACTCCCATTACTAATGTATCAGAATGTGGTATCACCAGACTTTTAAATTTTTATCAATTTGTTAGTGTTGAGATGCTATCTCATTGTTTTTATTCACGTTTCCATTTTTCTGGTGACGTTAAGTATTTTTTTTTAATAAACTATTGAAATATAACAGATAATGAAAAAATATATGGGTCTTAAGTGTACTTTTAAAAATTTATATACATTTTAAAGAAATATTGCTGTATGCATACTGATTTAGGATTGCAATATTCTTCTCCTGGACTGATCCATATGAGACTCTCTTCTTATCACTAAAAAGTCTTTACTTCAAGTCTACTTTTAATGATGTTCATGTTGATACACAAGCTTTCTTTGTATTACTGTATACAGAGTTCATCTTTTTTTCCCTATTCTCCTACTTATAGATCTTTTGTTTCTTTATATTTAAAGGTGTCTTTTGTATAAATCATAAAGATTTGTTTAATGTAGTCTTATAATTTTAGCCTTGTACTTGGAATATGTTAACCATTTAAAAATTTAATTACTAACATACTTAAGTTGATATCTACCATTTTACTATTCACTTTCTATTTTAGCTCATCTTTTTATATCCAACAATTTGACTATGAAGTGGGTTATCTTTGTGTTTAATCTAATTGTGCATTATTTATATTTTTGAATCTGTGGTTGATATCTTTCAAAGTTATTGAAAATATTTAGCCATTATGTCTGTGATATTGCTCTGTTTTGTCACTTCTTCTGGCACAACAATTATATAATTTAGAAATTTTGAAATTGTCTTATACATTTCTTATTCTTTTTCTGCTTACTTTTCATTTATTTGTACTTTCTATACATTAGTATAGGTATTTGATATTAATTTTCCTTTCATTTCACTAGTTTTCAGTTCTACTATGTCCAATCATCCATTCTGCTATTAAATACATGAGTTAAATTCTTAATTACATGAATTATATTGTTCTAATTCTAGAATAGCTAGTTGATTTTTCTATAGATTACAAGTCTAGTGAAAATTTTTGTCTTTTTACCTGTTTTATATTTCTTCTATTGTAATATATATAATGCTATATACATGCCCATAGAAATATTATGCATATATATGTATATATGTATATAATTGTTGTTAAATTTTTGAGTACTTATTTTCTTATTCCAATACCAGCTCCAGGTGTACATCTCTTGTCTTCTTTATTTATATTGGCCAGATTGCATTCTCTCTTTACATGTCTAGAAATATATATATATATATATATATATAAATAAAATCATATATATATATATATATATAAAACTTGTGGCTAAGAGCCCTGATAAAGGAAAGGAGACCCTGGCATTCTTTTTCAGGTGGCTCATAGAAGAGCTATTTGCTCACCAGGCTATATGGTGACAGCAGACACATATCCTGACATATCCCGGCAGAGGAAATCAACACTGGGATACTTAACACCAACAAAAGAAAATAGGACACCTATTAAGTGTTGACCATATCAAACCAGGTGCTATTCTGAGTTTTTATAGGCCAGCTCATCTAAGCCTACCAATACCACTTTGAGAGAGGGACTATTATTGTTCTCATTTTTCAGGTGAGGGAACAGTCACAGAAAGGTTAAATAAGTTGCCCCACATGATATAACTAGTAAAAGACTTCAACTCAGGCAGTCAAGCTCTACTCCCCAGTACGCGGACCTCTCACTGTTGTGGCCTCTCCCATTGCGGAGCACAGGCTCCGGACGCACAGGCTCAGCGGCCATGGCTCACGGGCCCAGCCGCTCCGCGGCATGTGGGATCTTCGTGGACCGGGGCACAAACCCGTGTCCCCTGCATCAGCAGGCGGACTCTCAACCACTGCGCCACCAGGGAAGCCCTAGAAATATTTTTATTACATGCCAAATATTGTGTATAAATGAACCAAAAATTCTCCAGATGATATATAGAGAAGGTTTATTTTTCCATTGTTAGACCAAATGATGGCTAACTCCAATCTAATCAAGAATTAATCTCAGGCAGGGGATGCACTGAATGTTTGTTAAAATGCAGATTACTCTTGGATTGGCCCTGTTGCTACATCATAGACTTTTCATGTGTCTGACTGAGAGCAATGTGAGTGATTTTCATCTTCTCAAGTCTGAAATACTATGATTTCATTTTCAGATTTAGAGTTTTCTGTATTAATATTTTCTAGATATATGTTCTAGGAATTAGAGAAAACTACATTGGATTCAATAAATGGGTTGCTGAGTGAACAAAGAAATAATTTTAAAATCATTTTACCCTTTTGTTCTGAGTGAACTAAAGAAAAAAGGAATATTTATTTCCCACAATTTTATATAGTTGATTTAAAAATGAAAGGAGGCATTAAGAAATTTTGCCAAATACTGTAACTATAAAGAAGCAGAACCATAATTCTAAATTTTATGACTAATTCCTTCCTCCATATTATAGTTCCCTTTCCAAATACCAACTCCTTATTCTCCATGCATGTCTCATATGAAGAGCACTGATAGGCAAAGGTAGGCATCAGATGGGAGTTGTGGTTTATTCTGAGCATGTACAATTGTAACACAATGAGACATTAACAAAAATAAAATGAAGTAGATGAAATGATGTAAAAAGAGGCAAGAAAACCTTTTGGAATTAATGTTGATGACAGTACAACTTTGTGAACTTTAAAAGTGTGACTTTTATAGCATGTGAATTTTATTTCAATAAAGCTGTTATAAAGATGGAATGTCAGCCACTCTTGCATTATCTTTGTATAAACTGAGTTGCTTAAGAGAGCTACTTTCTTCTTTTTATGGCTTTTCCTCCAGGACTTTAAGATTTCCAAAATAAAAAGTGTCAATGACTACTTCCATTTGCTTTACAACTCATTCATACAAAGTTAATACATGGCATCTTTGTTGATGCTTTAAAGTATGTTTATTCACTGTATTATAGAGCAAGTGTACCAGTAAAGTGAAAAATAAAGCCATGCAATCACAGAGCCTCAACCTTGAGTAGATTTACTATAGCAGCAGAAACAAGAAAAGAATTGGGTTCCAAAGAAAGTATCAAACACTCATGAATTCTATCACCATATTACATGGACAGCGTCTGGAATTGCACTGAGAAATCAAGAGCAGCAATGAGTACACCTAGCTTCACCTTCTGCAACCAAAGTCTGATGGCTCATGGATGTCAACTTACCCGGTCAAGAGCTGCTTTCTCCAGTTCATTTTTCGCCACAGCTAATTTTCGTTCCAGATCAGTAAGCTGTTGGGCCTGTAAAATGAAAGAGAGGTAAATCTTTTTAGTAAATTCTATAACCTTTCCTCTCCACTTTAAGTATCTGTCATTCATTGCCAAAGAATTAGAAAAACAAAAACCTTGTGAAATTCATTTAGAATGCAGGTTAAAAATACTCTATTACACGGTCATTTGGTTAAGCTGCAGATGTTGTTCTGGATGAATATACACTAAATGTTTCACTGGGTCAAAATGACTAGTTGCAAAGTTCCAGCTCATGTCCCAGAAAATATTTGTGGTATGAATCCATCAGTCATGTTTCTAGTTGCTATGGACTAAATTTTGTCCCCCGCCTAAAACTCATATGTTGAAGCTCTACACTCCTCCCACACACCATGTAACTGTGTTTGGGGATAAGGCCTTTAGGGTTAAATGAGGTCATAAAGGTGAGGCCCTGATCCCACAGAATTGGTGTCCTTATAAGAAGAGGAAGAGACACCAGAGACCTCTCTCCACCCTCACACAGAGGGAAGATACAGTGAGAAGTCACCATCTGCAAGCCAGAAAGAGCTCTCACTAGAAAATGAATCTGCCAGCACCTTGATCCCAGAACCATGAGCAAACAGATTCTGTTTTTTAAGCCACCCATTCTGTTGTATTTTGTTGAGGCACCCTGAGAAGCCCAATACAATAGTATTCACTCTTTTTCTATTTTTATTTTTAAACCAGTGTAACTCTATCCCACCGTATCTCTGTATCTTTGCAAATGTCACAACTGTACTGCTAAAAGAAAAGAGCCTCAGATTTGGAAGATGTGTTTTAAAGTCCTGCCTCCACCAATGCCTAGCTACTGTATATACTATAGTTATATACTGACAAAGAGCTGCTGTGCAGGCTCACACAGGATCTGCAGAAGGGCCGGCCTCCCCTCATGCCTCAGAGCCTCGCTACACCTCTGGCTTTTGTCAGTCTCCTACATTTAGCCAAGGAAAAGAATTTAAATCTGGAAGGAACAGAGGGTCGTTCTGATGGTCTTGTGAGGCAAGGGGATTGAGTTCGCCTTCGCCTGGGAGAAGTCAGCAGAAGGGCTCATCACTTCTGCAGTGACCAGGACGTCCCCATTCTGGATCCCCATCCTGGGTGTTACAATGCTGTGGGCTTGTAGCAAGGCTGTAGCCAGCCACCAAAGTGCCTACCTGTCTTTTGCTCTTCCCTTCTCTCCCTCACGGTCTGGAAAATAGCGCCCTGCACCACTGTCTTCGAATAACCTTTTTGTTTTTTGCCTTATGGTAAAGCACCTAGGCAGGAGGAGAAGGTGAGGATATTTTTCTTGACTATGAAAACCTATATCCATTCTTTGTGTCCATGCATAGTTTTCATCCCCTAAATCGATCTATGCTACTTTCCACACTTGACTCTTGTGGACAATAGTTTTCCAGTAGGCACTGTTGCCCTTAAACAGTAACCTAATCATGTACATGAAATATATATGTGCACTTCTAAATATACGATAATGTTTAAAAATAAAATCATTGTGAATGAGGGGGAGAGAGAGAGAGAGGACTGATGAAGAGGGTTGTTTCCAATTTGAAGGCACCTCCAAGTGAGTGGACTCTCATAAGCTCTGAACCATGGGCCCCCTTGGCCTGTCTGTCTCTGTCTTTCTGGCCACCTGCCCGCACATCAGGAGGGCTTCAGGACCATAGGCCTCAGTCTCGCATTCCTGGCCCAGGCTTGGGCCACTCTGCTGGTTCTGCATTGTGGCTGCCCTGGGTCCAGTTGCATTCCTCAACCACAGAGCACTCAAGACTTCCCTTGTGACAATCCCTGCTACCGCAGGCCCTGCCAGAGCCAGCTTCTGTCCACAGGACTGAGGCCCAAAAGAAGGAAGAAGAAAGGTCCTTCTGTCAGTCCCCAGCTTCTAGGCTTAGGACAGGAGTTAGGGAAGATGGGGGGGGGGGCAGTGCGTGGACCTTAGTGGGATAGTGGCCATCCCCACACCCCTGGTGGCTGTAGGCAAGTTCCTGGGAACTCGTGTGGGAAGAGGGCAAGAGTGTCAGCACCAGCCTCAGTGCCAATCAACATTCTCGGTCACCAGCTGGAAGGGAGTTAGTGCTGCCCTGAAATCGCCTATGTCTTGAACACCTTTCTACCCCCACAAAGCATGTCATGATATCTTCATCCTCAGGGTCCTTTAGGTGGGCAGCCTCTCTCCTCAAGATGCTGTCATTCATTATCCGCAGTCCAGCGGGCGGGGTCCGCATAGTTACAAGTCCTCCTGCCTCTATCTCTCTCCCTCCTTGTGTGGGTTTCAGCCTAAATCCTGTCATCCACACCAAGGGACTCCCGCAAAACGATGACTTCAGGGTGTGAAGCCATCCAGGAAGCCTGTATCAGGACAGGTTGAATGAATTCCAACAGAAATAGCAAATATGCCTTTGAAAGCTCATTGCCATTAGTTCCCAGGGTTTCAAGTATTTACCTCTTCTAAGAACTCATTGAACTTGGTAATCTCTAGCCAAGAGATCTTGGGATACAAAAGGTTACAAAAACAGTAAGAAAAGTAACCACAGGAATTGCAGATTTGGACTCATATTATCATACTTTAGTCTTAGTTTTGAAAGGATCAGTTACTGGATTAAATCATATATCGGGGCTTCCCTGGTGGCGCAGTGTCCGCCTGCCGATGCAGGGGACACGGGTTCGTGCCCCGGTCTGGGAGGATCCCACGTGCCGCGGAGCGGCTGGGCCCATGAGCCACGGCCGCTGGGCCTGCGCATCCGGAGCCTGTGCTCCGCGGCAGGAGAGGCCACAGCAGTGAGAGGCCCAAAAAAAAAAAAAAAAAAAAAAAAAGAAAGAAATGTAAACATTCCAGTCCCATCCCAGAGCTAATAAATCAGAAGCTACACTTAAAAAAAAATCATATATTGTATTTATAAAATTATAGAAAATAAAAACAGGTCTGTGGATTTTAAAGCATCAGAAAACCTATGAAAGACAGGAGGGTTTACTGGATTGTGAATTTTGTCTGTTTTAAGTCATTTATGTGCTTTGTCAATTTAATTCACGTGAAGAAAAGGATAGGGTTATTTCAGGGGAGGTAGTCGTGAATCTAGAGTAGCTTTCACTCACATCCAATCTTTGAATAAGTATCTATAAAGTGATTAGTTTTATTCAGACTAAGAAGGAAACATCTGTGTACATAGGTTGAAAATACACATGAAGCAGCAAGCATGTAAAGTGAAAATCTCAGTATGAGACTGCTAAGCTGAGAGTGTGTGTAAACTGCAACAGAGAACAGAGGAGGCCTGAGAAGTCAGAGTATTCTTCCTAATAAGAATAACACCGAAAAAACCTAACATTTAATCTTTATGTAAGTATATTTTCTCATTTGAGATTTATAACATGAGAGGCTAGAGTCCACATAATAATTTTTAATTAACTCAAAAAATTGTGAAGCTCCACAGCTCCAAGTTTTTATAGACCACAAAACACTGGAGCCTGGCTTGGCTCTGCCGTCTGGTCTATCCGTTCTGGAGCTGTTCCTTGCTGTTTTTCTCAAGGATCCACCTTAAATTGGGCTAGATTATGAAGGATGAAATCAATGCTGTATTTAATGCAAAAACTGTCTTTTTTTCCAAAGAAACCTAAATGTACAGTTGTAGCATGAAGCAAACAGAAAGGACATAATGTAGACAGTTAAATTTAATCTGAAATTGTAATGAACCATTTTACAAAATTCTGGCAAATGCATACACCTGCAAGGTTCTAATTCATTATTTATACATAAGGTGTGTAATTCAATATTTCTGAAAACTCACTGGGACAAGGATTATCTTAATCCTTTTCCACTTCCTTCCCTCTAGGTGAGAATATCCAGGTATCTTCTTTCTAATTTTCTGGTGAATTTCCCTGAGATTTGTAGCATACGAAAATATTTATACCTAAAAAGGACCTGAAACGAGTTTAACACTAAATGTATTAGAATATTCAACATAAATTAAACACACTAGATCTACGGAAAGCATATATGTCTTGTGAATGGGATGTGAAAGTAGATTATGGGTAGCAACAGAAGAAGGAGGCACTGATGATGGGGCCATGAAGTTCTATCCATTTGTCTTGACTGTGCTGCAAATTTGTTCCAAGACTTCCGGCAGCCAGGTATTAAAAAAAAAAAAATGTTGGCTCTAAAACTGCCATCACCAAAGAGAGTAAACACACCAGAGACACACATGGGGCAGGGATTTTCCAAGCAACAGGTTCTAATATAAAATTATAACAAACGGATTTTATAATTCAACTCGGAGAATCACTTTGTTTTTCAGGAGCCAAGAAAATGTGGCACAAAATCACAGTTCATTTTACACTAAGCATAACACCTAGGCTACGTTGATGTGTGTGTGTGCGTGTGTGTGTTTTTCCACCGAGACACAGAAAGCAGTAGGAGCAAGTCAAAATATTGGCTTTCCCAGAAAGTGAAAGACAAATGCCACATGATATCACTTATATGTGGAGTCTAAAACATGACACAGATGAACTTATCTACGAAACAGAAACAGACTCCAGGACATAGAAAACAGATTCGTGGTTGCCAAGGGGGAAGATGGATGGGGGGAGGGATGGATTGGGAATTTAGGGTTAGCAGATGTAAATTATTACATAGAGAACAGATAAACAAGGTCCTACTGTATAGCATAGGGAACTATAGTCAATACCCTGTGATAAACCATAATGGAAAAGAATATGAAAAATAATGTATATATATATATATATATATATATGTATTACTGAATCACTTTGCTGTACAGCAGAAATTAAAACGACATTGTAAATGAACTATACTTGAATAAAATAAATTTTAAAAAAAGACAAAAAGAAATATATTGACTTTCCTCTAAGGATATGCACAATAATTCTTCTCTTTCTCACACACTCTATAAGATTGATTGAAATACAATTGGCTGATAAATAGCTTAGATGCCAAGATAAAGAAATTAAACCTTTTTTTTTTTTGGTCACCATTGAGTCTTATC